GGCTAGATAACATCTTCAGTGCTAAAATGGGATGGGGTTTGCTCTCTATTTATATACCGTGGCATGCCTTACCAGTGCTGGTGGGGGTGGGAGTTCTGTTTTGCTCCTCTGGTAGTTCCTTCATTAGCATATGTTGACTGCTTGATTGTGTGCCAACAATCATCTCCAGCAATCATCACCCAGATAAGCAAAGGTCACCACCAGGCACACAATCAAGCAGTCAACAGATGCTAATCAGTGAACTACCAGAGGAGCAAAACAGAACCCCCACCCCCACCATGACTGGCAAGGCAGGCCACAGCAGATAAATAGAGAGCAAACCTCATCCCATTTCGCACTGAAGATGTTACCTAGCTGGGTAATGAAATGTTTGCAAGAAAAGAACTAAGCTCAGAGAACCCCAAGGACTCCACACTTTATACATTCTAGATGATTTTTTTGGTGACATATACTGGCAGTACATAATTTTATAAAAATTCTCTTTAAGATTATTACAGTGTAAATTTCAAACCTTTAAACCACAGGCCCAACCTTCCTGTAGGGCCAATGTGGTTTAGTGATTAAAGTGTTGGACTGAGACTGGGGAGACCCAGGATTAAAAGCACTTTCAATCACCCAGTGAGTTTCAGCTTTATCTTACCTCACAGTTTTGGGGGATAAAGTGAAGAGAGATCCCCATGATCTTCTGGAGGAAAGGTAGGAAACAAAACAAATGCACAAATTACTTAGCATGGTAAAAACAGAAAAAGGATTAAGAAGAGCCCCCCAAAGGATCTTATTCAACAGGATTAAATGAGTATTTAAATAATAAATACAGTTTAGTTTCAATAAGTATAAAGCCTCGCGTACTGGGGCAACTTCACACTTGGAAACTGATAAAAAAAAGGAAGTTGTTTGAATAGTTCAATAATAGCAACTTTTAGTGTGTTTATGACATTTTTCTTCAGCAGAACTTCCATCTCTTCCTTCTCTCTGCCTGTCCACCTGCCAACTCACACAAAAGAAGTGTTGCATGTACCAGTCAGTTGACCTTTGCACATATAATTTTAAATTACACTGTTTCCATAGCTTAGAAACAAGCTGGATAAATGGTAATTTTATATAATAAATTACGAATAATATGGAGATGGGTGGATAGAAATTTTCTATGTAGTCTGTATGTGCTGGTTAAAAAGGTTGCAATATGTATATTGATTTATATAGCAGCCGTCTCACTGAACAGCAAACAGATTAAAATCCAATAGAACAAATATCTCCCTTACTTTTAAGGGGAAGGGGGAAACAAAAAATAACAAAAGACATTGCGTGTAAGGAATCATTGGGCCTTGTTTTTGAACAGCTAATTAAATCTTGATCATGTATTTAGTCTTTCCATTACATCGATACCCAACTCATTTATCAAACATATGGTAGTCCAAGATTATAAATCTGGGGTTGCACTGTTTTTCCAACATTTCATGCTGTTCTCTGGTCTCTCAATCCATAATTCTCCATGTAATTCTAAGATCCAAGTTTTTGATAGATAACACTAATTCAAAAGCACATTCCCACCTTTAAAACATATTGACTTTTAAGGACAATACTAACAATACAAACGTATGGATATCAAATTAAAATAAGAGTAGGACAAGCAGGACCTTTTTATCTGAGTATCCCCTCATGGATTTTATAATTCCAGCATAATGAAATAAATGTCTGGCCCATTCAGACCTTTTGTTACATTGCCTTTCTTACCCCATGACCCAGTTAAGTACATTATGCAAATAGGATTGTGGTTTTAAGCTACCAGTAATTATATCTGCTGATGCTGAGCTCTCTGTAACTGATAAATAATATTTCTACAAGTGGCAAGCAACAGATGCTTGGCCCTGTAGCAGAGGGCGTCAACCTGGGCCAGGAGGTAGCCTCATGCACCCCATTTATGGTTGTGCAGGATGTGGAGACACTGCCATTGAAATTTGATGTCAAAATTTGCAGGGCATTTTGTTTAATTGGGGGAAGTTTTAACAGGTGGATGTAGTAGCGGTTTCCCTTCTAGAGGCCTCATATCACCATTCCCACCAACTGCCAATCTCAGAAGTGGGCTACAGAATTTTTGGATTCATTCCTTTTAATGATGCCATGCTGTTTCTCTGACTCCAGAAGTCAGGGGGCTGAGTTGTGAACCTTGGCTCCTCAGAAATTGCCCATCATATCCCATAGAGAATCAGCAATGACCTTTGTTTTCCATTCCGTTTTAACACTGAAAGAATTGCATCTTTGGCTTACTATAATTGTTCTTCTTTACAGCATCAGCTAAAACTTCTAGAGGCTCAAAAGAGGAATCAGGAAGTTATTCTACGCCGCAGAACTGAAGAGGTACCAGACTATTTCAGTTCTGCCATCTGTGTGTAAATTATTATATATAATCTAATTTTTAAGCTTTTTAGTTATTAAAATAGTTCCCTATTTTAGGTTACAGCTCTTCGCAGACAAGCCAGACCTATGTCTGATAAAGCGTCTGGGAGGGTGAGTCGGAAGCTGAGTCTACCTGAGCACTCAAGTCAGGAAGCTGCATCCTCAGTAGACAGTGATGGATCAAGAGCAGTCTCCCAACAGAAGATAAGAATACCCATAGCAAGGGTCCAAGCATTACCAGCAACAAATGGAACCAAGTAATGCTGCACAAATACTATTATGTGTATATTAAAATAAATAATACTCTAGTACTTTAGCCTGGCAGATGATCAGTACAATTTCATATGAACATTACCTTTGACTGCAATTCTGTGGCTGGTTGGACAGTGTTCTAGAGACTATAAGATTACTCAGACCCCTCTCCCAAATTAAATCTCCCAGATTCTCCTCTCCCCAGTGCTAGGGCCTCAGAAGCTTTTTGATCCCAACACCAGAAACTGATATTGAAAAAAGGTGAAGGGGGCTTTTTGAAGGACAGTCTGGAAGGGGCTGAGAATCCAAAGGCCCTCATTCCTTTCACTCCTTTCCCAGGCACCCAAACCATGGGGATGAATTATAACAGTGTCAAATCTGTTATAATTTCATTTTCTTCCTATTGTGGGCAGTTCGAGGGACTACAATGGAGGAGGCAGGAACCTGCAACAGGATTGCAATTTCTCTAGCTCCATATTGTCTTCAGTGTGACCATCAGTTCTCCAGGTTTACAGACAAGAGTTCTGTTTCTGCTGGGAGAAACCTAAGATTGAACCTTGGACCTTCTGCATGGAAACCATGTGTCCTTTTTATTGAACCACCCTTCTCCCTGTTAGAAAACATCCCCTGCAAATTCTTCATCTTCTGCCCTTGCTAGATAACATTGTGAATAGCAGATGAATTAGAAATAGAAGTAGAATGAAAAAACCAGCAATGCTCTTTTGAGGGGACTTTTTATTCTAACTTTAGGCATTAGAAGCCACAACATTTATTGAGGTGTTTCATAATTTATTTTTACATATCAGTGTGGTTTATTTTACATGTAGATATAGATACACCTACACATAATCATTATTTTTACATACGTGTCACATCAATTCTGCCCATCTTTTTCACACTTGAAGAAAATAACAAAAATTGGCATATTTATTACTTACATATAGATGCAAATGGGAAAAAACCTGACATCTATTTCTTTTTAAGAAGGGGCCCTCTAAATTATTAAACATTATTAAACATCTCCAGGTTTCACATGTGATGATTTTACATTTCTGCTAGGAATATGATGCCAGAGATAATAATATAATAGGTGTATGATTCTCTAATTTTGGGAACTGTTGGATTTAAATGTTTGCATGTGTATGCTAAAAAAAAAAATAGCTGTCGAGAAGTTTGCAATAGTACTGAACACATACCTGGATGCAAAGTTTAGATTTTCTGACAATTAGTACTGCTTCTCTCCTTGCCAGAGGTTTTAAGCATTAAGGATGGAGTTTTCTCCTATTGTTATTGGAACTAAATGTAACCCAAATGTTATGCTATGTCATTTGAACGCCATACATCTCTGAATTGTTTACAGGAGTAAGTATCAAAGAAAAACAATGACTTCAAGAGTTTATACTTCTAAGAGTGCAAGAATGAAATGGCAGTTACTTGAACGGAGATTAACAGAGATTATTATGCAGAAGATGACTATATCTAATATGGAAACCGATATGAATAGATTATTGAAGGTACAGCATTTTGCAGATACCCTGTTAAATGTGACGGCATTTAAAATTTGTCATTTTTGCATTAGGTGAAAAACATGGTATTACCTCTGGTGAAAATTTTGTATTACTTTTGTATTACTACTCATGCCCTGGTCACCTCTGGGTTGGACTACTGCAATGCGCTCTACATGGGGCTACCCTTGAAGAGTATCCGGAAGCTACAGCTGACGCAGAATGTGGCAGCGCGGACACGTCTGAATGCCCCTGGAGGGCACATATAACATCGCTGCTACGCAAGTTGTGTTGGTTGCCAGTTTGCTTCCGGGTCCAATTCAAGGTGTTGGTTATCACCTTTAAAGCCCTT